ATATTCCATCTCTGGTGTTTTCTGGGCTGGATGAAAGGTTTTGCTCTGTCTGTGCTGTTGTTGCCTTGAAAGGCCAGTTTTTAATAATGACACAGGCACGGTTAAGGGGATAAAAAGGGTTTTACCTCGGTGTTTGGGATCCCAGGTGCACAACTTGATGGCAGAATGCACCCCCGTGTACAGCACAGATACAAGTTTTATAGGTTTCAGGAATTAGCAAATCTATCTAGGATTCCCCAATAAGAAACTTCACAAATGCAGTGATGTCCCCCTATTCTAATGAATCCCCCCCTGGATGAGGCCAGAGCTCAGTTTACACAGGATGATCCAGAAAGAAGGTTTTACCCAAGGCTGGAGCTCGGGTTTAAGATAGCACAGGGCACAACTGACTCTTTCCTGAGGATGTTTGGTCTCTCTGCCCAGCAGAACTCCTAAACTAAGCTGGAATATCAGGCTTCAGGAATTACAAGCATGTGGGCTAACGGGTACAGGAGGATGCATAGAGGGTACAGAAAGCGTAAAAAGGAAAAGCAAAAATCATCAGGCATCACTGACCCAGGTGGCACCTTCTGTTGTCCCTGTCAGATGTGGGAGCCAGGGTTGTGTTGGTGTCACAGATGACAGAAACTCCCTCCTGGGCCTGGTTCTGATATTTCGCCATCTGCTCTCAGTCCAAATCAGGGTGATTTGGCACCATGGTTTGAGGGGGTGATGGTGGTGCTGGGCTGGCAGCTGGACTGGATCATCCTGGGTCTCTTCCAGCTCTGATTATAATGTGAATTGCGGACACTTTTGACAGAAAGAAAAGGTCTGAGAACATTGTTCATAAAATTCCCTCCATGCCCTTTCCCAGTGCCCATTTGAATTGCCCAGTGGATTTTGGTGGCTGGTGCTCCAAGACTGCCCCTAATGCCCCATGTATTGACCCCTCACAAAATGAGGGGCTGGAGATGGGGATGGAGCTGGGGAAGGGCTGGAACAGCAGGGAAGAGTCTGGAGAACTCCTGAGGGAGCTGGGAAAGGGGCTCAGCCTGGAGAAAAGGGGGATCAGGAGGGACCTTGTGGCTCTGCACAACTCCCTGACAGGAGGGGACAGCTGGAGGGGTCAGGATCTGCTCCCAGGGAACAACAGGAGCAGGGAAACGGCCTCAGGCTGGGCCAGGGAAGGGTCAGGGTGGACATCAGCAGGAATTTCCCCATGGAAAG